CACATGAGCGTCGACCGCCCAAGAACAAGAAGGCATCACACATTTTGGTGTGAGATTGTGAGCTGTCGCAAGCAGGAAAAATACGGAACATCTCTGCATGTTGTTCAGACAAATGACATACAAACTGCTCACTCTTTTGTGCCATCCGGGAATGTGGTAGCAATGCCATGGCATTGACATATAGCCCGCAGCATATGGAGTACTCCGTCGCTGAACGACCTCAGCCGAGAAGGCAAGGATTCTAAAAAAGAGGTTGCTGATCAGCGGCATGGTTTGTGCAATATGCCGCACGTCTTGTCCATGCATGACTTGGTACCTGGCGATCTTCACGGCCCGCTGGCTTGGGCACGGCGTGAAAACAAGAATCGTTGTAAGAAGATTTAATGCTGAACCAAGCTTGAAGAGACAAAAAAAGGACCCTAATCTTATGCCCGCCCTGGTTGGTGTAAAGCATCGCCACCTCCGTGGCTTTAGCCACAAGTACTTTTGGCGTTCGTATCTTGAAACAACAGGCTCACGCCCGGGGTGGTCAGGTTGCTCCGGTTATCCCGTCCTCGGCAGCGGCCTTGAGATAGGGACTCGCAAAGTGCCATCGCGACGGTTTGAGTGGTGTCGTTTGTGAGGGCCTTCATGCGAGTGATTCTCGATGCGAGAGTCGAACTCGGCTTGTGGGGGCCAAGGGGCTGCTGAGAGCAATGATGCAAATTGCTGTACAGTAGTGTTTTGTGGGTAGTTTGTTTCAGGTAGACTCTTTGGTCAAGACTAAACCTCGATTGAGCACCAAGTCAGAGATTGGTCTCGTATAATCCGGACTTCCCAAGTCTACTGTCAAGAACCAGGTGCTCACCGTTCTATTGACACAGAACCTCGGGCTTTCGTATGCTCCAAGTGTCTCAACCATCAAGTAGCATAATATTACAAAATGTCATCTTTTGCTTGTCTCCTATAACAGACGGCGATGACCCGCGACCCATTCATTCAACGTAGCATTCAATCGATCAATCAATCAACCGCGTCAAAGCGCCCACCGGAACTTCAAACGTGAGCTAGCCTTATGGCCGGGAGCCCCTGGCCTGTTCCCCTTTTGGGAATGCCACTAAGTTACCCTTGTTACCAACCGACAGGGACGGTTCGCTTGGAGAGCTAGCGCGGGAGAGGAAAAGAAAAAGCGACCAGAGCGTGGATTTCCGCGTGGACATGGGTACAACACAATAGACCTGGATGGACATGGACTTGGGCACGACCAGCAGCTAAATCGGGAGCAGAAATACACGAATAAGCGAATGCTCAACTTTAGTGGCAGCTCTGTCCCAAGGAGCAACTCTTCAGCTCACAGCTTTGTCAAACTTGTTGCTGTGGTATGCGTATCAGCCTGACCAAGCTGCCAGACACCTCGCTGAATGCCGCATGACGGTTCATCTCAACCTCCATGACACACCCCTGGCAGCTTCGGCAACAATGCCATAAACGCCTAGGCTCTCCTACTACTCTCTAGCAGTTATCACACGGCGAGCCGGTGCGCCGTTGGCTCCGACGCTCCGGAATCACCAAGTTAGCGCAGGTACGCGTTCGCTTAGTAGGGGGTCAAATCGACATTTAACACCATCAGCCCACATAAATGCGGTCGGAAATTACTTCGGAAAGTTTTTGCTGAACAAGAGTTGCATAATGTGCTGCGGATAGTCCAGGCACCTTGGGATGGCGGTTGATGGAACCCACGAAACCCCACAAAAGGATGTCTGAGCGCCTGCTAACTATGAGTCGTCGCACATCCACACGTCGTATTGGAGCATTTGTGGCACATCTTGAACGGACGGACTAGCTTCGTGCTGTAGATCGTGCGGCCCCAGACGCTTGGGGCATCGAGAACAGGACGAATACCACTAGTTGACATAGTACTACTGAGGAAACGGTGAGCCAAGGCTATGGACTGGTTCAGTGTGGACTGGTTCAGTGAATCCCAGTTATGGCCACATCACGGACACGGTGGACGGCGAGGTAGTGTCGTAGCCGAGTGTGGTTAATGTGGTGGTCAAAACGGTAATTACCAACCTGCCTCTGGGAGCTAGATTGACCGGCAACAATTATCAGTCTACTTCGTATTGTATGGAGATGTCGATGATGAGAACTCTAAAAAAGATAAGACTGAGCGAATTTTCCGTGGAGACACCGTTGCCTAGTGCAGAGTTAACTACAATATGCCAAATTTGGATTCCGTTTGCGAGGCACTCACGAATAGTGAGGGGGCAACCAATGAGCATCTGATGAGCTCGTGATAGACGCATGGACCATTCGAATCTTGTACGGAGTACGGAGTAACCATCTCGTCCCTGGTGCCTGGTTGAACCCCCCCCCCCCCCCCCT